TATATATCTCCGGCATAATCTCTCGTCATGATTTGATTGCTTTGAACATCAATGTTTTCACTCACTGTGTGTCTTCATATATGATTTAAGAATGCTTGTCCATGCAATCTCATTCAACAGCTATGTGACAATGCCACGTGTCACATGGTCCACAATGAAAAACTCAGTGAGGCGATCGCAGTGAATGCAGGAGTAAGACAGGGCTGCCTGCCTATTATCTTAATTATGGCGGACTGGATTATGCATCAGACTGTGATTTGGGAGTGAGAAGACAGGAATAAGCTGGACCACGAAAAAGAAGACTCTAGAAGATCTCTGTATCTCGCAGACGATGTATGCCTAATGTCACACAAACTCGAAGAATTTCAAGTGAAAATAGGAGTGCAGGTGAACACAGAGAAGATGGAAGAGATGAAGATAACCAACGAACGGCAACAACAACAACAACCAGCACCTATCACCATCAACGGGAGACATTAAACAGAAGTTGTATCCTTCACTTATCTGAGAAGCATCACTTCAACTACAGACGGAACAGACGAAGATGTCAAAGCCAATCAGAATCGGAAAGGTAAGATACACCTTCATCAACCTTAAACCAGCTTGGAAATCTTTCACACTCAGACTGCATAAGGAACAAGATTCTCATTTTCAACACCAATGCAAAGTCAGTCAGTGCTTCTATACGGGTGAGAAACTTGCACTGAGTGTCACAAAAAGCATTTCCAACAGGTTACAGACCTTCATCAACAGCCGCCACCTTCACTGGCTCCACATTGAAGGTCAAATGACCAGAAAGAATAAGCAACAAGAAACTGTGGGAACAAACCAATCAAGAGCCGGTCGCTGAAGAAATATGCGGAAGAAAGTGGAGATTGATCGGGCACACATTGAACAGACCTTCTAATGACGTCACACGCCAGGCCCTCGATAGGAATCCCATTGGAAGGCAACGACTGGGTCGTCAGTGCGAGGGTGGCATGGAGGAGGTCATGTGGTGAGGAGAAGATGATAGATTATGGTCAATCGTGTACGCCGCTGAAGAGAACAGCAATTTGCTGATTCACATTCTGATGGCCTGCATATAAGGATGAACTACCTAAATTTTTATTCAGCATGAGGCACATTTCTCTGTTTCTAGATGTTTCAATTTTTTGATTCTATTCTTCGATTACGGCATAAACTCCCGAAAATTTTAAACTATCTTCCAACTTATATTCCAAATGCTTCACGAAGGAGGGAAAAATTAAGACAATTAGGTCTTGTTTCAAATGAAATGATTCTGTGTCATATGATATACTGTCGATAAATATTTCATTTGAATATTCTTTTTTCCCATTCCTTTACGTTCCCAGTTGAGGCTAGAGGTTTGAAGTTTCGGTAACATTTGTGCTGACTTTTTACGGGATGGGGTTGCTAGCCTCACACCCACCCTTCCCTCTTAGCTGGTTTTATTACTGGCTTAGCGAGGTGAATGAGTGCGACGGCCGGGGATCGAACCCCGAACTATCTGCGTGGTTGGGGAGCATTCTACCTCTGTGCCACCAACGCACGTTGAATATTCTATGCAGGAGTAAATAATCTGCAAGAAACTACACTGTGAATTTTGTATTGTATGTATAAGTAATTTCCAGAATAAAATTACTATTACTATAAAGAAAATAAATCAAAGCTTAGAGAGGGTACGCCTAAATTTGCCGAAGAAATTGTCAACCATCGTCAAAAGTGGATGTATTATTTTCGCTATTGATCTTAAACCATTCATAGTACGATTAACACGTGCAAAGCTAACTCTTTTCTCATCTATGACATCCGATGATCCTAAAGAGCATTCTTGTTCGATTTTCCACCAGTTGGTAGTGAATATAATCTGCTGTCTATTAAGAAACTTCTCTGATTTGTTAATATTGATCTAAAGAATCAACTTTTTTCTCCTGGTTGTATATAAGTAATTTTGCGAAAGCAAACTTTGCAATAGCATTATTGATTTTGAAATATCTACTTAACTGAATCAACAGAGAAATTTATATAGTTTGAAAGTCAGAGAAACAATTCCGGGAAATATTACTCTGGGTAGCTCTTTCCTTTGGTTAAAAACGTAAGCCAAACCATTACTTCTTCTGCCAATTAGAAAATAAGTTAAGCTGTATACAGTTCAGCCTTGTTCACTACATTGGCTATTTTATTTAAACATAGACACTGGATTTGTACAATGGGTTAGAAGCCTATTTTCATCAAACTCGACTACAAGGGCGACGACATCATAAGAATGGTAAATAAAAGATTAAGCCTAGCCCTGTCTAGAACGTGTCCTGCAGCGTTATTAGTCTCTCTATCCTGAACAACCTCCTCACTGGTTCAGTCAAAGATCGACAAGTACATGTTACCTCCAACTGCATATACCAATTCACACTTATCTGCGGGAGCAGTTACATTGGAAAAACAGAGAGGAGGATTCTGCGAACATGTACCAAGGAGCCTTTATACAAAGTACCTTAAGTCTTCTCAGGTTTGCTGAAGCTATAGCAATAAAACAATTGAAGCCTGACTTATGGGTTCAAAAAGAATCCGTTGTTGGAATTCAGTTACCCTGGTGACTCACATCTTAGTAACTCTTTGTTTTCTAATTTTGTCAACTTATCTTTTCACTACACCTCCTCCCTTTATTTTTCGCTTGACTCTCTTAAGAGATCATTTTTCTTGATCTTCTGAGTTCTGCTCACTGTATTACATCATCAACTGCTCATCTGACCTCATGTGTACCGAAATTTTTAAATTTTGATCTTCTCTTATCTAATTACGTAACTATTGCTAATTTTCTTTTGTTACTACCCCAACAACACAACTGTTAATTAATTTTTATTCAAGAAACTTTCTCTCTAACCATATATATATATCGTAATACTTTAGACACCCTGCAGATTGCAATGCCTTATTTTACTATGACGCTCTGACGATATGCTTGCTAATGGACAAAAGTTTGTTAAAATTGTACACTTTTTATATTTATTTTATTGAAGAATTCGGATTGTACGTAGCTGATGAGAACCGGCGAAATAAAATAGATCCAGATTATTCTGCGACAATGTTTCTTCTTTCTTTGTTCAAATTTATAAAAGGCAATCATTGTATGAAATACAAGAAATGTTGCGAATCAAAGTGTATAAAATTCAAAGTACTGAAAGAATGAACATTGCAACTCTTAGTTGAAATGGTTTTCAACTTATATCTATTACGAAAAAGAACGGTCAGGTTTGTATAAAGGGAAGAATTGGGAAGACAAAGAAAGGCAATAATTATTACTATCTTATTAGATCACTTATCATTCTGATAAATTACTGTTCACAAGTACATGATGCAATGCAATACTAATTTACTGAAATGCATACTCGGATATCACTCATATCGACTACTAGTAATTGTCAGCTAGCCAGATCGAGGTAATTCAAACACCAGAAGACGTTTTCATTCATTTAGGGCCGATATCACCAGCTGTGTACCTTGTTCTACTCAACTGAGGGGATTGAGTTAGTTGAAACCATTAGAATTCAATCTACCTACTTGAGAAAGAACTATATACTGTAGAAAACTAATCTGATGCTCGCTAGTGACTTGCTACAGACCGCAGTTTCCTGGAGTTCTAGTGAGAAGTCATGATCAGTGAGGTCCATCTAGATGTCACATGTGAGGATGGATGTCCCACCGACGACACTGGTTGGGATCACGCTAAATCACGAATTGGTAGAAGCTAGAATTCATGCACTGGCCATTGAATCAGGTCTCAGTGGCTGAATGGTATACGAAGCAGCCTGCTTTGTAACTAGAAGGTCCTGAGTTCGGACCCTGGTGGTGGGCGCGTATTTCAATGATTCCCGAACTAGGATGAAACAGCCATTCAGTACTCTGGTGCTGGTTTTCAATGGTTGTCTAACTGATATAAATCCGTGATCAACTCGTAAAAACATAACTAACCCTTACAAACCAAACTGAAGAAAATACATTTAATGACATTCGCGATTTGCATTCCATTTGACAAAAATCCACTTGGTGGACCAACATCCGTAAAATGAAGGATTTTGTAATTAATGCAACCAAGGGAATGATAAGCTGAATACACAACATTATTTTACTTTATTCACCAGGTGTCTAGTAATTAAACAGATTGACTAACTGCATTATAGATAAGATTTTATTTTGATAAATCACACAGTGTTGTACAGTTATATGAACTGGTGACGTTTCGAGCACAAACTATTGCCACTCATAATCATATCAAGTTGATATCAACTTGATATCAACAAATCCTCCCCTAAGTATGAAGGGTATCCATGAACATAAACTAGCCGTCAAAACACATAATATCCACTCCGTCATAACCCCTCACTACATTCAAACAACCACGGACATCAATTCGACTGGGAAAACCAACGTTCAGATGTTAGACAGAGGAAACACCAAGAATGCCAGAGAATTTCTAGAAGCAAGGTATTCCAGTGAATCGTCAATTAATCGACACATCGAGATAGACAGAATTTACGAACCGATAAGAAGGAAATCTCACACAAAAAGCGTCATAGTTCACGTCAAGGAAACAACCAGTATCAATACAAGTAGCCAAGAGAGTAAGAAATCACACAAAAACAACCAATTACGTTCAAGGCCACCAGGAGAGATGACTAATAAACTCGTGGAGAAATCTAAAGGCTCACTTCATGTTCAAGTATGCGCTGAAGATGTTGCCTAGAAGGGCAATGAAAGCTTCACAAATAAACCATCCAGCTCAGAAAACACAACCACATCAAAGGCATCGTAATTATTCAGCACATATCAACTAAATAAAATGAATCAACACATATTTCAATCTGCTTTTATCACCTAAAAATAACTCTATGCTTTCATGCCTAATTCACTGATGGAAATCGAGTCATATTTTTCCATTCCATTTTAAACTCATCAACAAATGCATTAAGCATGCCTTTGTGGTAGTGTGGTGAGAGCAGGCTGCTAGCCGATTGGTTGGCACTAATCCACGTTAAGGTCTAGGTCACTAATATGGGCCGTGAGAAAATATGAACAAGGCTGAGTCAACAACCAATCACAGCAAAGTTAACGTGGCAAAATATGATTCGCAGATAGAGAACTCTATTTGTCAAGGAATCCCGAAACAACCAATCAGAAGCCTGCGTTTGTCTACCTAACTTCTGATAAACAACCAATCAGATGACTGCGCTTGTCTATAATAATGTAGTTGAAATATGTATAAATACGTGTTGATTTTCATAATAAAACGATCTGTTGCTTCGCCCTTGTCTTCTGTTGTTACAGTAGTACATTAAATTCTATAGTCTATCCTGACTATTAATAGCGTCCTTTTCACTCCAATTTATTTTGGTTGGTGAAACCTAATGCAATTTCTTCACTTGTATTTACTTGATTAAGGAATAAAAAGGTTTAGACGAAAATGACGACAACAACAACAACAAAAGAACTAATTCACGAATCTTTTCGATCTAATTTTAGAATGATAAAAATACACTATTTAATTAAATTTTAGATTTTCCCGTCGACTGATTGGACCGAAATGCTCAGCCTCAGGTTGAAACTATGGACACTGGGTTCGAGCCTCGGTGGGAACATCATCACTAACTGGGAAATGCAGATACATACAGATGACGAGTCCAAAATAGGACGAAATGCACATACTGGATTCCACTGCTAGTCACCATTCATCAATCAAAAATACACTATACCTGACAAGAAAGACAGATAAATTGGGATATTACACACATTAATTACTAAATTAAACTATTAACAGACTGAACATACACTAGAAAGACAGTTAATTTAAAATGATTTTGTGTTATCAAGTCAGTCACTGACAGAAAACTTAGTAACAGCGATTTACACTAACCCAATACGTATTTAACAGAGCGATGATGCATTGACCAAAATCGTACATTTTCTTTTTCAAAGCTTCTAGCTGGTGAGAAGTCGTGACCAGTAGGGTGCAGCAGGTCGGGTGTGAGGACAAATACTCGCCGAAGGCATTAGCTAGGGGTCGCGCTTCGTCGTGAATCGGCAGACGTTAGAATTCATAGACTGGCCGTTAGATCGGGTCCCAGTCGCTAATGGTCTACGATCTAGCTCGCCTTGTAACCAGAAGGTCCTGTGCTCGAACCCTGGTGGTGGGTGCGTACTAAGGAACTGTCCCAAACTAGGACGGAGGAAACAACGGTCCAGTACTCCCTACTGGTTTTCCAATGGTTCTCTAACCAGTGTCAGTTGATCATGAAATCCTGTAATCAATCAAATCCCTACAAAGCAACACCTGAACACTTCTCATTATCTTGACCATATTATTCCTCTTCTAATTGAGGGAAGAAATCCTCACATACGGCTAAAAAACAAATATATACATGGAATGTTTAATACAATACAAAACAAATTATCAGTCTAGTGGTGACGTGTTTGTTGACAATAATCAGTATCAGTTATTAGAAGAAAAGGCGGCGAAGTTAAACTATCGTGGCAAAAGTCAAGATCTGACAAACGTTGACCTACAAAAAACCACTCGGATTTAGGGAGCGCCACTAAACGTCATTACAAATCAAATAGTGCTTGCCCTTACGGATTTCATGAGGGTCGGGTACAGCACTTTGCTCATTCTCTGAGACCTTTAATCCATAAATCTATACTGTCAGATAGGGTTGGGATTTGGGATAAGTGTTAGGGTCTACGGTTAGGTCAGTGGTTAGGCTGGATTTAAGAGGATTGTCGGGATTATCAATGAATGCCAAAGTACCATGACCTACAGTTACATGAATGAATACATTTATTGCGCATGTTATAACTTGTCTATGGATTATTTTATGGAGTGACTGGGAGACATTCTTACAAAGCGTAGTATAAGACAATCAAGCATCAAAATATCATGTTTGTTATGCTTTTTGAATTTACATTTTTTTTTTTGACAATTATCTAGCTAATTTCCATTTGAATTTTGATTGGCTGTTCAAGGTTATTGTGAATTTCGCTATGATGGTTCAACTTCACCGACAAAGCATTCAGTAAAGAGTCATTCTTTTCATTGATATCATTCTCAAATTGTACAATCGCACGTATAGATATTGAATTTTAATTAGCAACAAACAAAAGAAATGTTTCTAAAGTTATGTCATTAAAATTTTAATTTTCAGGTAACAATTAAGTAATACGGAAAGCGTTAATTAGTTAGAAAATAAAATGAAATTCAATAAGTCGATTACATAACGTAATTTAATTGATGCGACTGAGTGGAGCTCAACCATATTGAAAAAGAATTTAAGTTAGGAACAGTTATATAGTGAATAGAAATATAACAGTGGGAGACGAGAAGAATAACATAATTGAGAAACAAAAGAATTTCTTATTTGGTTTTAAGACAGATTAGGTCCACTGTAGGTTCATTAACCTAAGAGACTTCTTGTGTATTAAGAATTCAGGATTTACCATTCAAGGTTGCCCTCACTTCTGCCATTTAAAAAAGCGTGATTTATACTCATTAAACAAGATTTCTGCGTATTTTGTAGAAGACTATGAAGTTGGTATGCGTGTAATCTTGGTGTCCAGAGTGTTTAAGAACAGTGCTGAGCTGAAGGAATTTGTTCACTTTCTTATAAAAGCATGGGGTTAAGTGTTCAATGATATGTTTAGGTAGCAAACGCCGAGTACAGCCAGTATAGTATAAACTTCTGTTTAAAAATAATAATATAACTCTTTATTCATTTCAAATAAAGTCATCGCCAAAAAACTGGTAACTATTGCGTAGTTTTAAAAGTGCTATGTATACATTTTCAACAAAGAACTTTACACCGATGTGCAGCAGTTCAATTCGCCACATTCCCTCAGCACACAAAGCAAGACAAGAAAGTTGAAGAAATGCAAAATAGAAACACTACACAGGTAAATCAGACAAAAAGAAATAGTAATATGCAAGAACAATGTATATTTATTGGAAATTATAAGTCACAAGGAGTGGTTGCATATGCACCAGCCACTCAGAGCGATTTTCAGCCATATCAACAATTGCCTCCAGCCATTGGTGTTGACCGTCCCGAGGAACCCAACCAGGAAGTCTACACCTTCATAAATGACTATCTTCAACTAACTATTGTAGATTTCATTGACTGATGAAGACATATCTGGCTCTGACCACCACTAGCTCTCTCCCCTCTCTTTTCCAACCTGAGCAATCCTATGTCAGCTAACATTGACCGTCGAAGAAGGCGGTCGATGGCTAGGAATCCACGCGTAACACATGTCCCAATCATCCCAATCGATTTAACTTCACAGCCTCGTCGACTGATTATCCCACACACTCACACTTACCTAGCACTTGACCGAAGCCTAATCTCAATATTGCTCACCCTATTATACCATCACGTGACACAGAAAATATATATATATATATTAGAGTATAGTCTTAGAGGAGGTTCTAACTGAAAGGTTAATATGTCCTCGCTCAATCCTTTTGTTCCACAATTTTGTTTGTCGTATTTCACTTTTATGTGTTTATATATATTACACTTCTTCGACATATCTCATCAAATCAAAACATAGGAATCATGCAATGTCAGAAGATGCTACCCTGTATCACATACTTTCTCTTAAAACCCTCCAAAATACAGTCATCTTAAGGTGTGATGACAAAAAGTGGCTAAATAAAGGAAAATACACATTGAAGTAAATACTTTTAAAGTGCTTTAAATCAAATAATACATATTTAGACAGTCACAAAATGTACCTCAAGTCGAAGCCAACAAAATGCTTTTCTTGAAGTTTAGGATGGAAAATAAGTACCCGGAGTAAGAAAGGAAACATAGTAAAAAGGAGGAAGTCGTCCAGACAAAGAAAGCATGAGCTGAGCAGTACCGCTAGCTGTAAGCCGGGACCATTTAATTTGCTTCAATAAGAGAACCAGAAAAATACCTTCACTGGGTAAATTACATGAGGTATGTTATTATAAAGCCCCTCAGAAGTATTGATACTGTACTCAAACAAGGTACAGTGCTTCAAAAACCAAACAGAAAAATCAAAAAAGATCTGAATGTCATCTGAAACCGCATCTTCAATAATCCTATCGAAATTAATGCGTTCTGCAAGAAGATAGCATCAGTTGTGTACATGAATTTACATGTACTTATGGTGTCAAGGTCTGTTAGATAGACTTTTATTCAGTCTTTGGGGTGAATCAATTTCCAAAGACAAATAAGTGTTTGACGAATACATAACATGGACATAATATATCCAAAGTTATCATAAGATGTTTTCCAACCATTTCGATATTTTGTATTATTAGAATCACAGTTATTTCTATTTTGTTACTCCAAAGTTTAAAGTTATTATGTTTCTTATTTCTGTTTAAATAACACGCGTAAGTCGTTTATCTGAAGCTTATTTCATGTTATTATTAATCCCTTAGGTTACGAGTGGAAAATACGGTTTTTGCAGCACAATTCCATTTATTGCTGTTCTCCCAGTACACTCTAGTTGGCTTCAACATTGCTCATAAGCTTTCAACCACTCCTCACAATCTCCTTAATATCGCCATCTAAACCTACACAGAACTGATCCTTTCCAATTCAGACCCATTAAAGAGTTTTCCTGGCCTGTTATTTCACTCAACAGCCTGTTGGAAATGTTTTTCTTAACGCTCAGTGCAAATTTCTGACTCGCGTGAAAGGACCAACTTAACATTTGTGTTGTTCCTGTCTTCTCACTCTCAATGCATAGTTCGACGCATAATCCAGTCCGCCACAATTAAGAATAACATCGGTGATAATAGGTGGTCTGTTTTGTAATACTCCTGCATTCGAACGGCTTGCTGAGTTAGATAGATAAGATAAGCTTTATTCCAAATCAGTACTTGTGATACAGAATGGAATTCTCAGCATTTTACTACAATATTGCATCCAGTTAGTACATTAACAATAAATATAGTTCTACATAGATTAAGGTTACCTCAGTCAGTTTTGACAACAACATATTAGCATGTCGGTAGCAAAGCCAAAATTTAAACAGAGTGTTTGAAGGTGTTAGAAAAGTAGATACTACTAGCATATTTACTGGCGTAAGCGATAGCAAAATGGTCGAGGTATACAGAGTGTGAAAGAACGAACAAGAATGTTTTAAGTAGAGTTTGCAAGGAAGAGAGAAACAAAACAGCACATAACAAAAAAAGGTAGAGAGAAAACGTTGTACCTGTAAATGATGTGAGTTGGAAAGACGAGATCCATTTGTTCTACTGACTATTTAATAAGTTAAAGGTTTCACGCCTAATGCTTTCTTTAT